CAGGACATGTAATAACAGCGGTTTCAAGCTTGGAGTACTAATTTTTCATGCTTACAAAGTAAAAACAGAATGCTTTTCACTAGTCTGCATGCCTTTTACTTTAGTTGACACTCCAGTTTGGAAATGACAAGGGAAAGATCATTTACCATGTTGTTTGTAGATGGGTGGTTTTCTGTAAATGTTGACACCTTGATCTGTGAAATTGAGAAACAGAAAAACGGGAATTTGAAAACTACTTGAGTTGTAGATAAAGATAAGCCCAACACTAAAACAACAGACGGACCAAATCAAGGATGTAGCACAAGAAAAAGCCAGAAAGCTATTTCCAGTATTACACAAAATCAGATTATTTAAAGAAAACAAAACATAAGAACAAGTGAAAAGTCAAAGACATGTGGCATGAAGTCCTTTGGAGCTGATTCTGTAACATGTGGATGCATCCAAGTCACGAACCATTCATTTTAAACATTCAGAAGATTATAAATGAGAGAAAAGTTAGAGAGGAAATGGAAACAACCAAGACATTTCAATGGTGAAGATACAAGCCATTTGAGGAAAACTACCCCAAATAACTTTCATGGAAAATTGTGCTTCAGTCATATCAGCTCAATTTTCTTTCCAACTGACTGGGTGGATTGAGCAGAGGAGAATGCAGTGAGCCTACAATTCCCTTCAGAATCCAGAGAGCAAAATAGCTGCCTAATACAATGTTTTGAACAGTCAACAACAGCTACACTTCAGAGAGTCAAAGGGATGCTTTATGCAGTGTTGGCTGACATACTAATTCTCAAACCACAAGGATAGATTTTATTTCTTTTTTTGTAATTTTTTTTAATGTAAGGCCCACCACATTGCACATTATCAATGTAAACACTTCCCAGAACTCTAATGCAGTAAATGCACAGCGTGGCTATTTTTTACAAATAATGATCTAAGACAGGAACCTGTTTGTTCTAAACTACCTCCCCACCCAAGCCAACACTTCAAATATTTGGCACAGCTACAAACACAAAAATTAATCCAAAAATCAGTGCTACAATGCAAAATCTGTCAAAAATCTTATTAGAAGACCATAATGAGATATTAGGAACCAGAAAATTAATGTCAGAAACCCATTTTGCTACTTCATACTGCCTGAAAAAAGTTTTCAGCTACATTAGAAAGAAAGATGAAAGAGCATTTTAGAAATACATGCTGCGTATTGCAGATCCAATTAAAGTGCTACAGCAGACAACTCAGCCTTCAGCATTAAGGAAAGCTAACCCTAGAAATCTGTGGAAACAGAGGCGAAGCTTACTCTGCAGAACCCTACATCCTTGACTAAACAGGCAAATTCATTGCATACAAAGACATGGAGGTATTTCATTCTCGTTAGTGATCTGTTATGGTTACTTGACCAGCAAACAAGTACAAACATTACAAGGGCAGTCATGCAGTACTTTTGCGCACATCTCTACCAGAAAGCCAGAGGGAGGACAGGAACACGGCTCCTTCTGTGGCTGCACTGTGCCAGCTCTCCCACCACGCTAGAGATTACTCCTCAGAGCTAGTCATGCAAGTGCACTTGCTCTTACGCACGTCGAAGTGCGCCCGGTTAGTTCAAGCAGTTAGAACAGCCCACCTTAGCCAGGCCAGGGCACACTGATTGAAAAAGAAGTTCCCACAAATGGTTCATCTGCCAAATCTGAGGAAAGGAGGAAGAGCAGTAACCTCTGGCTGTGCAGAGGGATACTAGAGCGAAGGGGACCTGAAGAATAACTGGATAAAATAGGGCTTTCGGCTAGCACTGATGCAGTCAGAAGATGCATGTCAACAACGCTAGGGACACACCACCTTCATCGCATCAAAATCCAAGACAGATGAGCTTCTCCAAGGCTGGAAGGACTTTTCAGTTCACTTTATAACAGAGACTGCCCTTTATAGACAGGACGCCCTGAGGCAAATGTATCCTTGTGGATCTGCAGGACTCTGAGAACACCAAGCCATTGCATAAAACAAGTAAAGAAACATTCTCATCATCTTTCAAAAAAGGGAACACTAAACTAGAACTGCTTGGTTCAAGACTGAAACAAGTCACAACAATCTGAACATCAAGATACGTAATGTCTCACTGGTCAACTCTTTTCTGCATGCCACTGTGGATCAAAACCAACTCCTCCAAAGTTAGCAGAGTTATGCTGCTGCTCAGCTGGTGCAAAATCAAGCCCTACGTAGCTCATGGCCATCAACAGACCCTGAAAACCCAGACATTCTAACAGTGAAACACCTGACCAACAGAACAGGTAAAAATCTCAGTGAAACACCGCTTCATTTCTTAATGCACTACCTGTCTCAGCAAGCTCAGGAGCAGTTCCAAACCCTGTGGGTGCACCTCATGGTAAACAGTGTGAAACGATGGAGACAAGACAAAAGTTACAAAGGCTACATTCTACACTGTGACAGGACACCGAGACACATACAGTGCCAGCTCCTACCTGGAACATGGAAATGTTTAGGGGCCTGAGCGTAAGTTGGAGTGAGAGGGCGGCTGTCGGGCCGATAGGGGACAGGGGAGTTCCGACCGCTGGACGGCTCATTGCCTCCAATGAAAGAATGGAGAAAACAAAATGAGAAGAGGGAGAGCAATAAAAAAAAGCAAACCCAATCAAACCCAAACAAAATTGGTGGAATCAAAACCTCCAGGGAGAAAAGAAGTTGAACCAAAAATATAAATACAAACAATAACAAGAACTGGTAGCCCTGGTGACTTTTTTTTTCCCCTGATATTCCTGCAGAGACAAAAATTCGTGTTGAGGCTGGAGTTGAGGTTTTAGCAGCTCAGACTCATTGACGGCATGCAGGCAGGAGCTGTGTGCTTGCAGCTGGTGATTAGATGGGCAGCGTGGAAAAGAAGAATGGAAGGTTACTTGGCAATGATTTAGTACAGAGATCGGTATTTCGAGTTAAAAGTCGCAGGCGCAGAGCATAGTAGCTGATGTGCAAACCCAAAATGAAACCAACTCCCAAGCAGATAGAAGCAGGTGCTGGCAGCTACTACAGTTCCCTAAACCAAAAGCATACAGAAGCTAGAGATGGAAAATAGCTGTTAGGTCACTTGGCCCATGTCAAAAGGCGTAACTGTTCTATACACACTCTTTCATTGGTTTAGCTGTCTGGTAGGAAATTTTTCATATAGCAAAATAATTTCTAAAGCGATAAAGCCCACCTGGTGGCTGCACTCATATCATTGGTTCCACCCCAAATTTCTGTCAATGCCAAATTTGGCTCTGATGACAATACTTCACCACTGCTGATTTAGCAAATCTGAATCTAATGTCTAAAAACTTAAACTCCATTTTGTGCACAAGGTTTGTTCTATTTGTAGGATTACTCTTACCAGGACTAATTTTTTGCCTCCTAACAATCCACCACATCAATCCAATGGCCTTGAAAATTCCCAGGTTTGTGAGAGTGAGAGCATTGTTGCAGAACTATGCTGCTTGATCCCCAAGCATCAAGACTTAACAGCCAGATATCCAAACACATGACTGTGAGTACCATTAAAAGAATGTTGCTGCCTTTTACTTTGTGCCATTCTTCACACTAGTGCAAACTCGGACAAGCAAAAACCATCCACATGGGTGCTTATTTTACACGGGTGTGGGTGAACACAATGGTGAAAAGTAGGGAAGCATCAAACTCCTTCCATTTATCAGGTATGCACGAGGGCTTAAAAAACCCAGAAAAGCTGATTAAAAATGCAAGACAAAAAAAAAGATCAGGAGGACTACAAGTACAGGAGGGCTATAAAACACAACAAAGAAGAAACTGCAGCCTCCTTTCAGCTACAGGTTTCCTATGTCCCATTAGAGGATCCAAAACCTTAGACTCAGCACTCTTATTTATATATTTGGGAAGAGGCAGGTGGGAAAAGGAAGTTTTCTTTACACAGAAGTTCCTCTTTTACTTGAGCAGTCATCTGACAATCTACAAGGCACCAGAAGGGAGAAAAAAAAAATGCTTGTTACAAACCTTGCTGAGAGGGATGTGCCATAGAGGCCTCTGCCAGTATACGAGTTAATCCATCTGCACATACATGTTTTAAAAATTACATGCATAGTTCAGGGGGTGTGGCTGTACAAAATTTTTCCAGAAGAATGCATGTGCAAAATCCTGTGTTTACCACTTGGATATTTCAGCCCTGAATAACTTAACATACATGATATCCCCCAAACATGATCTTTCAACCACATGAGTTGATGGTGGTTTTCTATTTTGAGTGCAGTGATGCTGAGCTTCTGGCCAGGTAACAGCAGGTGCTAGGTCTACTAACTTTGACAGCAGTATGAATGATTATCCAAAAGAATATTGTCATATCTCAATCTATGGTCCCTCACTTGGCAATTCCAATATTGTGTTCTACTTGTCCAGCCTTTGAAATACCGTGATGGTGAAACACCTATCTTGGTTAAGCTGATTTTACTCATGTCTTTTGTTTCTATTGAGAAATGATGAACTACTTTTCAGCAAGATCATTGTTCTATAGGGAAAAAACCATCAGTATTGAGATGGCCTCAAGACGTAATTAATTCTAAAATTTATAACCTTTATAGAGACATGTCATTACGCTTTTCTGCTTCCACTGGCAATTAGCGTATTCAATGAAAGAGAAGAATCAAAAGGGATTTATTGACTTGTGGACTGTCGTAACAGAGGAGTCACAAGTACATTCTACATGTACATTCTGTTGGGAATTGGTAGCCAAATTGTGGGCATGTTCAATTTACAATGCTACAAATACAGGGAAGGAACTCTCCTTATACCCACCTCTTTATCTCAACTAGACACAACTAAGTATGCTCACATCCATAAACATACACTGACTAATCTGGTATCTGGTACACAGATAATTTGTTTTTAGAGAACTGGTCATGTTGTACAACACACACAGTACAGGGCAGACAATTAGCACGGTATCATCCTGCACGTGTTGCTTTACAGATGTCTCTGTTGGCTTGTATTTCCTAGGGTTCCTGTACAGTCTCTCTCGGCTTAATGACTCCTACTAGTACTGACAAATGACTCTCCTTTACACTTTCCAGGATGGCAGTCTCATTACCTCCAACCACTTCAGGAGGGAATGGTACATCTACTTAGATTCTCATTAGATCATCCCTGAGGAGCCCAATCTAATAAGGAGGCTTAAGTGCTTCAGATGCTGCTGCAAAATCACCCACAATTTATGAAAGCAGTGCCGACATCTGCGGAACGTGCATACGCGCACAGGAAAGCAGAGCTGCCAGCCTGCCTCTTCTTGCCTCCCAGGGCCTCGTGGCCGGCCTGCCTGCAGCTTGACAGGAAAGTAGGGGCTGTGCTTGCTCTGAATTTGGGTTCCTTGCTGTGCCTTCACAGGGAAGTCTCTCTTACTGTCTCAGATATGCCATAACTAGTGCTAACTCCACAAAGCATCGAGAGCACTCTAGTTTGCCAACACTGTAGGAAAAATTAATTCCCACACCCCTGGCATGAAGTTGAACATGTGTGTATGTAGGTGGGTAGGTGGGTGGCATTAAGGGATAATAGATTAAGTTTAATATAAAAATCAGTAACTTGAATACAGCAGCCTCAGAATAGAAATTCAGAGGCTTTTTTTCTTCCATTCTGTTTGCTCCATCAGGTAGTTCCCATTTTCTATAGCTCGATTTGTGAAGCAGGTTTCCCTAGCAGTCAGGAATATAATTGCTTGCCTATACACCGCACAGTGTAACGCAGGTTCCTGCTGCCTTCTGAAGTGTTCACCACCGTGTGAGTCACAAGCTAAGTTCACAGAATCAGGCCAAAAAACCCACGTGCAACCAACACCGAGCCTTCTGTGAACGGGCCATGTAGTTGCTCTACTTCTGAACAGACATAGGAAAAACAGCCCAACAGCACCTGAAACCCTAAGTCCTATTCAGGTTTTGTCAAACTATCGTTCATTATCTTGTCCAGACGTGTAGCCCTTATTTCCCACACAAACCAGAAAGTCATGAAACAGCCAAAGTGTGTCTGTTTTCCAGAACAAAGCTTTCGGCTACATCCACAAAAGCCTGGAAACAGTTATCACACACAGGGAGCATTTGATTTCAGAGACCTGCCTCAGGGAAGGAAAGCACGAACCTGTGAAAACGAAGGCCCAAATTCACTACTGAAGGTGGGTAGATTCCTTATGGGAAGGTCTGTGAGCAGACGAATATACATTACTTTGGAGCTCTTTTTATGCAGAAATCTTACAGGAGCTTTGCAATATTCTTGAATGCCTCTGAAAAATTCTAGGCATGTGAGATGAAATCCTGGCTCTCAAAGAGAGTTTTGTCTTTGATTTCAGCAGGGTCAGGGTTTCTTTCATTCATGGACTTGTTTTGATTCTTTCATAGCAAAGACAGTACTTTATTGAGACAAAACAGAATTCAATGGAGAGTCCAAATGAGATTAAATGAAGTCTAAGCTGATGCATATTACATCCTCTTCCAGCTCATTCCACATACATGTTACATCAACAAACTCTCACTAAGACTTTCTGAGGCATATTTAGACCCTTCACGCCTCGAAGTTCTTGTACTTCACCCTACAAGGCTTGAGTATTACACTTGTTTAAGCGTTATGTTGTATGAAAACACACTGAAACTGGTCTAAATGTCTACTTTTCTGGCTTGATGATACAAAGTAACACAGCCGTAACGGGTCATATGCCACTTCATTATCACTATGCTGCTCGGAAATTCTGCCCCTTCACCAAAGCAGTTTTGGCATGATCCATATTTTCTGACTCCTAAAGGAAAACGACCCCAAAACTATAGCTTTATGACATCTTTCTTAAAAACTTAAACCAAGCTCACTTTCCTGCTAAAAATAAAAGTGGCTTTGAGAAAGGCTGACCGAGTAACAAGAAGATCACACAATGCCTCTTCTTCCAATGACTGCAAATGTATCTACCACATCTAATCAACTCCCACAGCACTAGAGTTCTCATTTCAGACATGTTCACAAGGGTCTAATTCCCTAGTAGACACACAAATGCTACTCTCATGATGAAAAAATGCAGTTCTTTAAACTTTGAAAACAGACACCTAGAATACTCAAGGCAAACCCTATGGTTTTGGAGTTGCATTAGGTGCAGCCAGAATAATCTCCCTTTTCTGTCGGGCAGATGTAAAAAGAGGGCACTTGGACACATGTGGTATGCAAGGAGGACAAATGAAGAACCATGTGGGAAAACCCAATCAACTTCATCAGTCGATAACACAACATCTATTTACGAACATGAAGTAGTGAAGAGGACACACGACATAGTGCCACTGGACTTCACTCAACACTACTCAAACGTTAAAAACACTCCCACACAATCCCTCTGAATTGTATACTGGGCAAGCTATATTATCTCTTCCTATGAAAACACTTATGCCTACATATGGCAACAGTGGAGAGGTTTATGTAACAAAAATATTACCAGTCCCTACCATCTTTCTTTAAGGGCACACGCACTGTTAGTGCATATATGCATACAGTGTATTTTCAGAGTAAATCTGATTAAGGACTATCTTCCATCATATTCCTTTTA